GGAACAGGTTGAAAGAACCCGAATTAAAAGGGGAACATCTCAATACAATGTTAAAGGGACCGAAGGATGACACAATGCCAACTGCAGAAAGTTTTATATTTAGACATTTGTCGGCAAGCTAATTATATGGTTTCTCTGTCCTGATCTAGGGATTCCCAAAATACTTTTTAAAGATGTTAAGTATTACAAAAATTAGGTCGACATTTTACTTTTTGGCGCATAAACTTTGTGCATATAGCAATGTTAGATTTTGATTTATACAAAAAATGTTTTGTCCGAATAATATGCGATATTTTATTCTACTTTGTAAACAAAATGGAATTGAACTCTTTTCTCAAACTGTTAAATTTTCAATCCGTATATTTTTGCAAGATATTCATGGTGAAATATTTCAAACGTTAAGAATTAGATCTATAGCAAACTCTATACGGTGGGAGGCGATAATATCAATATAATAAAGACGACTTTCGATTTCAATTTTGATTTATATCAAGCTTTTAAACAGCATAGATACACTAAAACAAAGACTGGCTGTCAATAAAAAAGTTTCTCTTTGATTGCTTTTAAACTTGTAATTCGAAGAAAAGCTTGTTAACAATTGAAACTTAATTAAAAGTCGTCCCCCATTGTATTGATATAATCGCATACCACTGTAGTTTAAACTATCACTTCAGGTTGCAAAGATATAAGAATTATAAAATCAGATTTCAAATCAGAATAATATATTTATTCTGTGTAGGATTAAGATTAACAATAAAGATTTGAACGGATATCCCACTTGCTTCTATGCATGATTATTAGGTATTGAAGAAATCAGGCCGCAAGCAATGGATTGATATGCATGAACCATGCACAATGCAGGGTGCAGGGGGAAATCAGATGATGGCGGGGAAGGGGGGAGGGTGAAAACAGGGGAATTTTTTTCTTTGTACAAATTTTAATTCTCTAAAATTTACGTGCAAGGAGATTCTAATTGATGTTTGAGGGTCATTCAAGGCCCCTAAAGATACCCTTACAACCCTCTGAGCTCCCCNCCCCCAACTCAACATTCCTAGGTGTCAAGTTTAACACTCGTTTTCTAACCTACAGCATATATCCATATATACTGCTATTCTGTATATTATACGATATGAACCAGAAAACATTTGATTTTGATACTCAGCAAATAGTTTTGCTAGTAACTAATTAAATCACTTATCACATGGTTTTGTTTACACTGCGCAATTGCTGTGTCTCACGTTCCTTGGACTATTTAAAGTCATAACTATAGTCTTAAAGTCGTCTTCCTATTTCAGAGTTTTATGGCTGTTACTGTCTATTTCTCAGATTTGAAAAATATCTACAGATTTTACACTAAATGCATCAGTGTTTTATAAATAATGTTTTATTGTATAATATTTCCTTTTCTGGGACTTCTTCGAGTTTAAACTGTAAAATCTACCCTTTGATTTTTCATTCAAATTCCACAATTATTTTGCCACAAATTCAAATTTTCAATCCCAATATCTTTGCAACCTGATTGTGTAAACCTTAGGCATTTCCAACTCTTAAAATATTTGATCAAAAGTTTGAAATATCTAAGGTCTAAAACGATGGTTGCAAAGATATAGGGATTAAAAAATCAGAGTTTGTGGCAGAGTCTCAAATCATTCACAAGCTATAGCTTAAAAATATGAAATACAAAGAACAAAAAGCTTTTTTTAATTGATGTCAAGTTTACGGAAATGAAAAGGTTACGAAGCATCACAAATTTCACGAAATCGTGTAAACGTATATGTTCGTGTAGAAGAGAAATAAGAGTTTAAATATCGAAGGTCAAGGCTTCTGAGTCCTGCAATTTGTCCAAATAAACCTTTAAGAAACCATTATCTCTACCTAAAAACAGATAATAGGGATAATCAGCTAGATTATCTATCTATCTATCAATCTATCTATCTATCTATCAATATATCTATATATCTATCTCTCTATCTATCTATCTATCTATCTATCTATCTATCTATCTATCTATCTATCTATCTATCTATCTATTTATCTATCCTTCTATCTTAATATCTATCTATCTATCTATAAATCTATCTATCTATCTATCTATCTATCTATCTATCTAACCATCTATCTATCTATCTATCTATCTATCTATCTATCTATCTATCTATCTATCTATCTATCTATCTATCTACCTTTCTATCAGCCAGATTATCTATCTATCTATTCATCCATTCATTGATTCATTCATACTTCTTGATAGTTTAAGAGGATGAGGATGAGGATGAGGATGAGGATAAGGATGAGAATGAGGATGAGAATGAAAAAGAGGATGAGGATGAGGATGAGGATGAGGATGAGGATGAACGACTAAGCACTGCAAACATGGTATGAGGTCTTAACATATTTGTAAGGATTTAATAGTTTTATGCATAATATGCAAATATTTCCTAGACCATAGGCCCTACCTTACTGCACCCAGGAGTAAGCAAATATAGGATCGTTACATCAAGAAGAGTAAATCGCAATTTCAATTTCTTATATTGGAAATTCATATCGGACACAAAAAAAATCTAAAAGTGCTCCAAGAATGTTTTTAGAAAAAAGGAAATTTAAAACAAATTATGCAGATTTCAACTTTCTAACCAAAATTCATATCAAAAGAAAGACAGAAGACGACATTAATTCTGGTTACCACTGTATATAAACATATTTCTCCATGCTCCAAGCCTAGTGTGACCATGTGTGTTGAAGGTATCTTTACATTAATCTCAACCATATAATTTCTATTCATCATAAAGGGTGTCTCATAATAAAACTCATTACCAACCCCTATACTTCTGGGACACACTGTGCTATGTCAATAAACCCATTTTTGGAATTTTTACATCTTTGAATCATCATTTTTTAAGACACCCTGTAATCTTGTGAAATGTATTGTGGCCCTCCCTTAATTTTTGCTCACCCTTTATTCTTCCAAGATGCATTTTGAATCTTAATTGCATATCAACACTATGCAGTGTACATAGATGAGAACAGGCCTTTTACGAGACTTGGTAATATGTAATAATTCATTCGTATCTCAGACATTTTAAATTAAAACTTGTATATATGGGTCGGATGCAATTATAACGATATAGAATAGGTAACTTCATAAACCACTATGAAAGATATATTTTCTAAAAATTACTTGCACTGTCAGAGCCAACATGTACTTAAATCAAACTTGTACTGTGATAACCAGAAAACTGTAGAATAAGAAGACGACATTAAAGCATTACTGAAATGCATTTGATGTTGTCACAAATGTTTACCAGTAAGAATTAAATCACTTATTAAGCAAAATGTGTCTGTAACAAAGCACAAATGTTGTGCCTCATGTTCATCGGAATCTGTTTAAAGCCATAATTTTAAAGTTTTAAGCCGACGTCCTATTCCAGAGTTTTCTGGCTATCACTGATCTCCTCACGTAACCCGTTCAGTATACACTGTTAGTGTACAATACCTCCAAATGCGCCAAATTTGTGCTTACATTTGTACACAGTGTTGGCGCATTTCCTTATGTATTTTCCGTGCTGTTGGGATTGTATTAATTCTACGGGTGTGGTGAAGTGTTTACGTTATGATTTCAAGATGGCTGCTGTGACGAATCCGGAATATTTTTACAAGTATTATTGCAAGGGTGGGGCCTACACTCTATAGTACAGGTATTTTAAATTAAATATTTATCTAAAGAAACGCCCAGTGCTAGAGTGGAAGAAATGTAAACACATGAAAGTCAAATTAATAATAAAAATAATACAAATTGTTATAAGATTGTAAGTAAGAAAGATATTTTTAAATATTCATTAAGAAATCAAAGAAAAATACAAATATACAGAAAAATAAAAATATAGAAGAGATAGAAAGAGAGCAAAGAAAATATTTAAAAAAGATGGAAAATAAAAGAATAGAACGATAGAAAGATAGAAAGATAGAAAGATAGAAAGTTAGAAAGATAGAAAGATAGATAGATAGAAAGATAAGATAGAAAGATAGAAAGATAGAAAGATAAAAAGATAAAAAGATAGAAAGATAGAAAGATAGAAAGATAGAAAGATAGAAAGATAGAAAGATAGAAAGATAGAAAGATAGAAAGATAGAAAGATAGAAAGATAGAAGATTGGATAGATATTGCAGCCCCCTGCAGCATGATGCTTGACGAGGAATGTTTGAAATATTTACAAAATACCTAATTTGTTTCGTTAACCTTATACATTGTAGTTTCTATATATTATATATTATAAACTTTATACAATATATATGATACATATCAAACAACAAACATTTTTCAGTTAAAATCGTTATAGAGAGTTGAGACACGTAGCCAGGATTTTGTTCATTTTTTGTGCTAGATTTGTGTAATTCAGTGTTCTCAAAATATTTTATGTGTAAAATGTTCAATAAATGATGTCATAACCAGTTTTATTAATATTTTTGCATTGCTTAAATTTAGAAGATAAAAAATGAGGAATTCTTAAGAATGTCCATGCATTGAGCAGTGAGCTGATATATTGTCTTAAATCCTGTAATCTTCAGCAATCCCTGGATTTAAGATATTATATTGAATTATTAAATATTCGATTATATGTAATCTTTGAGCCNATTTGCCCGTGTTTTAATCCTTAAATCTGTTCTCCGGACTGAAACGACTGGGTGTCTGAAACCAATGATTTTCATTCCTTATCTTTGATTTATCTGAAATTCTTGGAAATCCTATAATTTTATATAAAAGAACAAAATGAGAGAGATAGGAGGATAGTTTGGTTAGGGCTATTATTGAGCGCTAGTAAGTAGAGTGTCCATATTTCCAAACTGGAATGCGCCAACCCGCCCCGCCAGGAATGCGCCAACGCGTACCGCCTGGAATGCGCCGGCTGGGCCGTGGGGGAATTTGCCGACCCGGCACGTCGTTTGGAATGCGCGGAATTCTGGTAGAGACGATGTATGTTCAGTTTTTCTTAAACCTTTGATCAATACACATCACACGGTGTTTAGTAAACCATGGGTAAATTCAGCCTCTCGCGGCTAATAATGTGCGCCAAGTACCAGAGGTTGACCTCTGAAGATTATCTACGGCTTGGCCTCTGTGATCCCATATCTTGCCCAGATTGCTCGGAAGGGAACGGACATTATGTGAAAAATGAAAAAATGGTAAATTATAATTAACCAAGATTTTACAGATGTTGACAATGAAATATTTATCTTTTTGACAACAAATCACAAGATAATAAACAATAATTAATAATTAAACATAAAGTTTATGCTAAGGTTCTCGCTTCTAAACATGGTTATTTTGGTTTTAAGTATAAATTTATAAAAATTAATATTATTAAATATTGAAACATTAATATTATTGAATATTGAAACTTTGATTTGTTGACAGTTTCAATCAGTCTGTGGTTTCAATATATAAACTTTTTAATGTTACTAAAATTGAAATCATAATCAATACAATAAAACAAGACATTCATATATATGTTGCGTATAGCCGGCCAAACGACTGGACCGATTGAGCTGACTTTTTTTGTGGACACACATGGGTGGCCTGGGGGTGTTATAGGCTAAAAAAATTCGATTTATTTAAAAACATTTTTTTACGGGGAAGGCCGGGCCTTTCAGCTAGTATATTATATATCTATGATATATTTAGACAAAGCTTTCATCTCACATATAACAACTTTATATAAAAAGTTTAAACATTTTTTTGTCTGAAATATTTGTTTTACATTTTGTGAAGATTGAATTTGAACCTGTTCTCTGCTGTTGACATTTTGAACATTTTGTTGTTTGGCTTGTATATGCATAAATCTATCAACAGACAGTAACACTGCCTGAATATATATATTTAAATACTTGGGTGTGCTTTGAGTGTCTGCAGGTTCTTTTGTATGTTTTTACTCCCCCCCCCTACGATGGGCCCCTTTTCTTGAATATCTAACCGTCTTCTCTTTGAAGGATACTAAGGACTAGGGTAGGGCTGAATATTTGTTTTAACATCATATGCAATATTTTTCGTTTTCAGCATTAAACAAAAAAAGTTCGTTTTTTTTTGAGGTCTTGCATTTTTCAATCACAATTTCTCTTTTTCTAATAAGCAATGGACAAGAAAAAATAGGGTTTGAATTCCGTATTTATGCAATAAACCAAATGCTTGATTTACTCACTTGATCTTGCGTGTAAAAATTGTAAATTCAGAACTGGAGGTGTTACAAAGTTACAAAGTAACTCCGCATTAAATAAACTTCTTCATTATACGCTGAGTTTTGACTTTTTGAAATATATTTTGTCTATGGTTTATGTTTACTGCTCCTTCTTGAATCTATTTTGTCTATGGTTTATGTTTACTGCTTCTTCTTGAATATATTTTGTCTATGTTTAAATTATTTCTCAGCAAGTGCTTTGACATCTTTTGTTCTCGCCATTCCATGTTGAACAAGTTGAATTTAGAAATTCTACACAAATACTTGGTATTTCCAAACTGCCTGAATGCGACTTTAGACGTAAATTCTTGGGGCTTTTTTAAATAATATTGAAAACCAAATCCAAAATTAGAAATTTTAAGATAAAACGAAGATGTTTGTATCAATTTTAAGATAAAAACGAAGATGTTTGTATCAATTTTAAGATAAAACGAAGATGTTTGTATCAATTTTAAGATAAAAACGAAGATGTTTGTATCAATTTTAAGATAAAACGAAGATGTTTGTATCAATTTTAAGATAAAAACGAAGATGTTTGTATCAATTTTAAGATAAAAACCGAAGATGTTTGTATCAATTTTGATCAGTCAAAAGATTAGGTGGTACCGTTGTAAATTGGACATTCACTTGAATATTACGTATACGGTTCCTTTAAGTTTCTAAATTAGATTTCTTCTCTAGAATTGTTTGAATGTTGTGAATCTCGTGAATTAGTATTAGATGCATGGGTTTAACAGCAGGAGGCGAGCTGACCACCCACTAGCATTGCAATGGAAAATGTTAATGCTTGCTGCCTCTAAACCAGGGCGTTATGTGAAATTGGTCCACTGTGGGGGGTTTAAAACTATACTTTCAATTAGGAAATACAATTCGCGGGATATTTTCAAATTCCTAATAAGATGGCAATATCCCTAATGGATTTCTTGTCACGATTTTTCTTCCTAACTCCAGGTTGGGTTTAGATAAGGAGGGATGGGTTTGGGAGAAGAGAAGAGAAGAGAAGAGAAGAGAAGAGAAGAGAAGAGAAGAGAAGAGAAGAGAAGAGAAGAGAAGAGAAGGAGGAGGGAAAACCACGAAACAAATTTGTTTGGAAGACAAGGATGGATGAGGGACTAATGTTTTCTGGCTGGTATACCCTAGACCCGGAGCAGGGTTCTGCTGCTGTATTGCCCTAGGTTCAGATATGCATCTTGTTCTTTTCTCAGCTCTGTGTTATAATCCAACCAGCTTTCACCCGCCACCTGCAGATATTTTAACCCAAACCCGCTCTCAGTGTGAGAAATCTAACCCTGAGAATTAACTAGAAACTGTCCTGTAAACTCGTAAAACAAGATCAATTATCTACTCGTTGACAACATGTCTGTTAGCAAAAATTAAGAAAAATATGAAAATAATAATTATCCGTGTTTTGACATGTCACTAATTTGTTTTATTTGTTCCAGGTTGAGAAGAACAACAACTTGTTATTAAACAACCAGCTGAGTGAAGAGAAATTAAACCTCCCCAACCCTCTCCACAAGATCGTAAACAATCTCCAAGATGAAAACATTACTTGCAACAAGTGTAAAGAACTAGTGAACACAACCCATATCAACTGTAGCAAGGATAAAGTGAAGAAAAAAGGTTTTGTAAACCTGGGGTTTGTTGATGCTCTGACAGAACGGTCCAGCTGGTATCAACCCTACCTTCAGAGAGAAATAGCGGTGAAAATCCTCTCCGATTGTCCGGTGGGATCATTTTTAGTCCGAAATTCTCAAACCCACCAATCTTCAGGATGTCTCGCGCTCACCGTCCGAGTTCCAAAAAGCTTTAACGGAACCGGTATCCTTCATTATCTAATCCAAGTCCAAGAATCCGGATTTAGGATAAAAGGATTTACAAAGGTTTTCCCCAGCCTTCCTGCTCTAGTCGTTCATCACTCAGTGATGAAGGAAAACCTTCCCTGCAGACTTATAATAGAGGATGAGTCAAGTGGTGAAAGTGATCGAGAAAGTGATTTTGCAGACTTGGATTCGGACCCAGAGTATCCTGATATACTTCACAGGTTGAGAGCACAACTCTCTCAATAAATCAGTAGACCCGGAGAAGATTTGTCCGTTTGACCTTCTGGACACATTCATGTATAGAGAAACCATCATCCACTCATTCATTCATCCTTGATGGGGCTTCTATTCAAGGGGTGGGATGATTGAATGATCTGATATACTTGTAAGCAGGGTTGAATACCTATCAACCTATTCAACTATACAAACATCAAATTCATACAGAATATTTTAAAGATTATGCCAGCTTGGCAATTTCTAGTCATTATGCATACTGTATCCTTGTATCCTTGTATCCCTGTATCCTTGAATCCCTGGATCGATCTTGTATCCTTTTTTATCCAAATAACTAAATCCCATTTGAAATTTTAACTTTACATTAAAGTAAAAGTTTATAATTTGCACCGTTCCCAATTCCATTCCCCGCCGTGTACTCCCGCCGTTTATTACCGCCATTTTTACCCGCCGTTTGTATGTTAATCTACCTCTCTAGTTGAGTTTTCTTGTCTCCCTGTGAATTAATATTGTGTATGCAGGCTGTGAAATAATAAGGAAAGTAGATCTAACATAGTAAAAAGTCCATAACAAAACTGAAATAAATACTCTAGTATTTGATATATTTTAATTTTAAAACCGTCTAATACTTATAGAAATTAAATAATCCACATAATTTGGTTAAACTTCGATAAATCCTAATTATTAGTATAACATTTCAATTTGAAATAATGTGAATTAGTGAATTTTTAATCTTAAAATTTCGCGGATTAACAGAATTTGTTGATTTTGGGATTATCTGATAGGTTTAATTTTCTATAATCTTCTCAAATCCAAATTAGAAACAAAATAGTTCATATCTTTAATTATTTATTAAATTCCGTGTCACGTGAGTTGAAATTGAAAAAAGAGTTTTTACCTTTTTTCTTTCCCCGGTCGGACATTCACAAATGAAATAATAACGAATTTATGTTGACATTGATTTAAATTCTCTTATACGTTTGCGCTAAAAAACTAATTCAACTTGCGATACCGAGTTCAGAACTACTTCATGTAATTTCTCCAATTTATAGATTTCTATGGGAAAATTAAAAAAATGGCTTTGAATTCATGTTGTTGACAATATTGACTCCTGTTCTAAAGTAAATAATTTTACAATAAAAATCAAAACAAGGACACCCACCCCACCCCCCACCCT